ACGTACGTACAGTCACTCCAAAGAGTATCTTTACGGAGGGGTCCGAAGAATTTCAAAATGAACACTGTGACTCCTGCTGTATCGGTAGGGTTATCAAAATCCATCGTCGGCTGTGTCATATTGACTCACACAAAACCGTAAAGATACCTTTTTGGAGTGACAGTATCTGTGTGTGTGCCGATGTGTATATTTAGTCTATAACTGTATGTGTGTGTGTGTATGTGCCGTCTATATGTGTGTGTGTACGTACTTAATATTGTGCACATTCCTGTATATGCCTTCTCATCGGTACTGTCCGTATCCGTACGTAGGTTAAGGTTCAATGTTAAGAAAACTACCACGACCAGGCTGCTACCCCCACTAATTTTATAAATTGAATTTAATGTAATATACCAATCCACCACTCATCAGCTGACTAGCCGTTCGGGAGGTTGGTCTGTTCTTTACTACTTTGTAAAGACCTTCATTGTACAGTGTTAGTACAGGAGGAAACCGGAGTACCCGGAGAAAGCCTGTGAAGGTTGGTAGTCACGCTGGATAACACCCTTCCCACGTGTCTCAGGCCAGGACCAGTACCTTTAAATCGTTAAAAGTTTGGGTTAAGTTAAAATTTATGTACGAGTCGTTTATTAAAACAAAAATTTGGGTAAAATTTAGTTTGGTCATCCCTTTAGATATCCAAACTTTGTGATTTACGACAGATAAGAAGGTCCAAATAGTTCAAAACACATAAATAAAAATCGGAAAAACATAGTTTGGATATCTAACCAAATGTAACATAACTTATCCTAATCTAACCTAATCTAATTCTTAAGATTCCCAGGAAGACCAAAACTAAAATATTACCCAATGTATAAGCAAGTAAATAAGTCAATGTAATATAAATGGTTTAGGTCAAGCATGGACAACCCGCGGCCAGAACCATGTCTTTGTGGCCGTGGTTCAGGTAGATACAGCCAGCTTAAGGTGAGTAAAGTAATTTATTAAAATCATAATCTTCACACAATTCGTTACTGTTTCATCACCTAAGAGTAAGTAACTACGAAAACGTAACGGTGAAATAAGTATAAATAATCAACAATACTGTATAAACTCGTGTGAGTTTATGGGCCAAGTTCGGCCCGGTCTATTTGATGGATTAACTAAGTTGGGTATGTCCAGGTGGGCATAATATATATATATATATATATATATATATATATATATATATATATATATATATATATATATATATAAGTAGATCCACAATGAAAACGTGATAAGATAAATCTTGATAAAATCACACGAAAAGGAAACAACGAGTACTTTAGCTTTCGTCTTTATTCAAGACATCTTCAGAGGCGAAAGACGTTGTTTCTTTCCCGTGTGATTTATCAAGATATATATATATATATATATATATATATATATATATATATATATATATATATATATATATATATATATATATATATATATATGCTGATAACCACAAGGAAAGAAGAAAACACGAAGTTCCCAAACGCTTTCGTGTAATTCACATCTTCAGGGGTGAGTACAGACTAAAGAGAAGTACAAAACAAGGTATATATATACAGAGGAGGGTGAGACCAGGTATATATACACCTTGTTTTGTACTTCTCTTTAATATAAATAGGTAGTTTCATTGTAGTTCACCATACGCCAAGATTAACATGACATTATTATTTTGGTGGTGTCTAAGTAAGAAAAATGTAACTGCAGGAAAAATCAATGTATTCACAGACTGCTTCAAACATCTTCTGTTAAATGCCAAGAAGCATTAACATATTACTTAAAAAAATATTATGATGGAGTTGTTTAGTAAATGAGAAAAAGTCTGATTGTAAACCGAAAATATCATAAGGTAGACGTGACGATAAACTGTTTCACTTACCGTGCTAATACATTATTAACATTACCTTTGGGTTAGGTAGGATATAGATTTTGGTGGGATGACCCGCAGAAATATATCTAAGTCATAGTGCGGCCCATGACTGAAGAAAGGTTGCCCATGCCTGGTTTAGGTCATTCTGTTCGTGGTAATTCTCCAACACGAGCCTAGTAGACAGCACCCTAGATAAACAGTAAAGTTCTATTTATCCTCAATAGCACAACCACAAACATTCCTGGTAAAATCTGCCGTTTTTGTCACCCGAATTCTAGGAAGAAGAATTATAATAAACGTTTCCTTTTGGCGTTTTTAATCCTCGGTGATAATTGCGGTGAAACTGTTTGGAGAGGAGGGAGGGAAGGAGGGACTCTAGGAGGGTAAAGGTGAAGTGTATGAAAAGGAAGAGAATGAGAATACAAAGAGAAGTGTAAGAAAGAGGAAAACATATATGGAAGAGGTAAAATGGTAGGTACTATAATGATTTATGGGGAAAATATAACAAAGTTTAAAATGTAGAGGAAAAAAAAGTAAAAGTGAATTATAAACTTATATAGACGAAACAAATATGGAAGCGCCAAGAATAAGAGAATAGAAGAGGTAGAATAATAATATAATTTTAATAAACGAATTTAAAAAGTGGGCAGAAAAGGCGTAAAATCCAGAAAGTGGAGTGGAAGAATGAGCAGGAGCGGAGAATGGCGGGAAGCCTAAATCGTTGGGCCATTACAGTATACAGTATTATAAAATGTTGTCTAGTGTAACACCTACTTTAGGAAATATTCTCATAATAATACAGAATATATGTCTTAATTTTCATTTTACGAAACTAAATTCCTCGATTTTTTTTTGGGGGGGATTCTTCATATTTAGTGAACTTAGAAAGGTACACGAGTGGAGCACGGGTTTGAGAGGGGTGTACTACGGTGTTTGAGTGGGGGCAGGCACCAGGGGGCTGGGGCTACAGCTGGCCCACCATCTGCCATCACTCTCCCCCTCAAACTCCTCAACTAAGAACAATCACATTTTCTAGCCATTATGAACACAGGTAAGTGAACAACCCGTGACGAAGGTATACCTCAGCGTTCATCCTCGTCAGCGAAGGAATTAGAGGCATGGAAAGATGTCCTACAGTAACCTCCTCCTCCTACTACTATTTAATTAAATGGCCTCCAGCCTTCCCCAATAGCCACACCTTCGCCGCCATTTTATTACCTTAAAATTAACTATCCTAATACATAAGTAGCTGCCCTGGCTGTGTTGAGTTAGTTGAGCCGCAGATCTATGCGGCATTCAGTGACTGTTGCCTCATAGTTAATATCTGCAACTGTTGTCGGCTTTGGGGCCGATGCTCTCGTTCCCCTGAGGCAGAGCAAAGCAGACCTAAGCAGAGAGAAGGACAGCCGACATCTCAACCAGGCTGTAACATAACTTCTGGGCTGCTGCTTCTGTTCGGATAACACCTCCGCGAGTCTGGCATAGAAGCATCTTGCACTTGGTCCCATCCCACTAGAGGTTGTGAACACCAGAGGAGTGAAGCTGCCTTGATCAACGTTTTTAATTCTCTCCCCGTATTCCCTAATCTTGTTGTTCTCGTTCCTCCTGTGTGCAGCATCGAGAGCTAGGTTACGGTGGCATGCGGCCATGGGATTAAAAATACTACTACTACTCCTCCCCCTCCTCCTCCTACTACTACTGCTACTACAGGATTCTCAACAGTTGGTAAATTAGTTTCCCGCCTTAGCTATAGACACGAGAGGTATACAATGTGGAGTTATTATCCCTGGGTGTAATTTACAGTATTTAAGTCACTATAGTTACGTTCTCACATCAATAGTCAGGGGAAAAGTAATTGGATCACATGAAGATTAGCCCCCTATAGCTTATTTCACTAGGGGTTAGGTTAAGTTAGTTAAAGTTAATCTTAGGTTAGGTTGGACTAGACTAGGTTAGGCTAGGATGGGGTGTACACACAGTCAAGAACGTATCTTTACAATTTTTATGTGACAACGGATGAAGGATTTTGACTACCCTACCGAGACAACAGGAGTCGCAGTGTTCATTTTGACATTTATCGGACCTCTCCGTAAAGATACTTTTTGATTGTGTGTTTATTATTGCTTTGGTTTAGGTCAATCAGCAAGGTGCCTTACATCTTCACTAACGAAAAATACACATCTTATCTACATGTCGGTTAGATTCGTGAAGCCTGACCCCCGACCCAATCCTGACCTGACTGACCCTTGACCCAATCTTCCGCCCCCGACCCAATCCTGACCTGACTGACCCTTGACCCAATCTTCTTATACCTGACCCAATCTTCCGCCCCCCGACCCAATCCTGACCTGACTGACCCTTGACCCAATCTTCTTACCCCTGACCCAATCTTCTGACCCCCGACCCAATCCACTGACCCTTGACCTAATCCCCTGGTCTACAAAACGTTTTATGAGTGAGGTATTAGCATGTTGATGACCCCAGCTGTGAGGTCAAAAACACGGCGGTAACAGTGACTACACAGTGTTATATCAGTCATTGTAGCTGACTCAACTAAACACTTTACTGTGTGTGTGTGTGTGTGTGTGTGTGTGTGTGTGTTAGCTTTCCTCGCCCTTGAACACATCCCGTGGTGAGTGAAGCTAATGTACACACACACACACACACACACACACACACACACACACACACACACACACGTCAAATGTATGTTCTGTAAGCAACTGAACACCTCGACTTGCGCCGTCAACAGATCTCACTGCGCCATTTTACAGAATCCCGCCAATATTACTTGATCCTAGCCCAACCCGCCTTTAATTACCAAAGGAAGGTTTAGATAACGTTTAATTTTAAGACACTCGCTAAGAGTCGTCAAGGGACTATGGCATGATATGTTAACACACACACATGTTAGGTGGCACTGTTGTTGTGGTTTATTACATGTTAACACACAGATGTTAGGTGGCACTGTTGTTGTGGTTTATTACATGTTAACATGTTAAGTGGCAGTGTTGTAGTAGTGTACAGACTAAGAAGCTTCACAGTGAGTAGAGTTGAAGCTTGTCGATGAAATACTTTCAATTAGAGGAGAAAGTTTGGGGAGAGGCAAGTTTACCTGCTGGGGAGGCGGGTGCGAGGAGGCGCCACACCGCACTGCTGCTTCCAGTACACCGAGCAGGGACCACCACACTCACCTGTCAGTCCATCATCCTTATTACAAACATTAAATATCAAAACAACTTTTATCTGAGAGTCAAGATGATGATTAATGAAAGCTTTATAACTACTGTGTTACTGTTGCCAGACAGCCTACAGCTACCACCCGTTACTCACGTGTGTAACAGTACCAGTGTCCTACGGGTGTGTACAGTACAGTATGTGTAGTACAGTATACATACAGTTACTGAGGATTTTTTTCCCAAAATTTCGAACTACTCTTGATGTATCTGCATAACAGGTATTCTACGACGCATTATTATTATTAGCCTGGAATCAGATCTAAATAATATAAGTTCTTCTCGGAATTTAATGTTTCGAATTAAAAATTTCTGCTTGGCATTCCACTTTCAGAAAACCCCAGTAAAAATCCGTACAGTGGTGCTGGACAACCAATGGCCAGTCTTCTATACTTAACTATTAAAAGCACTTGCTAAATGCCGGGATATTAAGAACTGAACTTACAGCTGTGATCTACTGAGTTGCACCAATTCGTGACTTTGCTTTCGTGAAGAGAGCAACTTTTAGTATTAATAATATGAAGCTTTTATTTGTCTACTGTGGAATAATGACAAACAGAAAATTGTGCGGCTTATTTCTTGGTCCCGGAACATCCTTCAGTATTTGTAGTGACGACCCAACTTTTTAAGGTGTCCATGAATCCAGTCTGGCATGGAGTGAACCGTGCGATCAATGGAGGAGCTGCCCAGCAAACCTTGCCAAGTGTGCCTGAGGAGTTGACTTCAGCCCTTTCTAGTTACGTCGCTGTCACTTCCGTACCTCCTGACCCTCCACTTGTCAGAGTGCCCAGAAGGTTAATATCTGGAGAGTTCCCAGGTCGACCAAGAGAAAAGTGAGTGATATTATGATCTTCCGGCCAAACCTCCCCAGCTCAAGGACCGGGAGTGTTAACACCCTGGAGTAAGGAGTTTTCATCAGGGAATTGGAGTTATAATATTATTAAACCTTGCGGGGGTTCTGTTCCTCGGGGGAGAAAGTAATCCCTGGTGTTAACTGTCTCTGGTTACCTCATCATGGGTAGCGAATACTCTAGTCTAGGCTGATACACTCGCCTCTCCTACTAACAGTTGAAGGGAGATATCTTAACCCCAAGACTTTACACTAGTAACCAGTCCTCATATTTTTTACAGAGAACGAACAATGTTTTCATCAACTGAGAGGGCACTATGCGGGGTGCTTCCTGCGCGCTTCTCTGCAAAAGTACACAAAACTAATGGCTGTTTTTACCCAGACGCTGGTGTGAGGCGACTCTTGCCAGTCCAACCATACATTTATTTGGTATCTTACTTTATTCTACCAGCACTGCAGACACCGTGTGAACCTCAAGAGCTGAGACAACACGCACGTACACTATAATCAGCCAACAATCTGGTGTGACAATTAATGAGTGAACAGAAACATCAAACATCTCTTGGGTGCTGTGCTCCTTCCTACCATTAACCGCAGGAGTCACACAACAGTTTGTAAGTTATTATGTACACCTGGATATATATAACTGAATTAACCCAAATACGACATTGATTAAATTACTATATTGAACTAACACACAGGTGGGTGTCTTATATTACTGTTTGAGAAAAACGCAACATTCATATTCTATACCCAGAGCCTCAATTCGGTATAATCCTGTACAAAGCTCTACAAACACCAAGATAAACGTGAACATTATCTGTACAGTATATCACTAAATGCATTGTTGGCTCTAGTTTAATATTTATACAAGATGATTCTAACACCCAACATACAATAACTCCTGAAGTTCAAGAGGGAATTCACTAATAGTGACGCTGAAACTGTGTTGTAGACCCAGCGTTGTGTTGAGGCAGACCACCACCGTCATCCTCTAACACACTGAGCACTCCCCCTCCTGTTGGTGGTGTTGCTGCCACCCATGACTGAGTCTGGCCGTGAAGCTATACAGTACAGTATGTCACCAGTATCGACAGTACAGAAACTGAGGCAGCGGGAGCAAGCGTGTTACAGCAGCTGCACCCACACCCACAGTTACGGCAGTAGTGCCATCACAAGTGACGGTAGCGATATAAAAGCGCCAATGACAGCAGCAATAGCTGCAGAAACTATTGTTTGCTTGATTCTGCTGACCCCCGCTACCCACTGCTGTCTGCTTGATCCTGCTGACCCCCTCCACCCACTGCGGTCTAGTCGCAGGATGAAGGGGTTGTAACAATTATATAGAATTGAATCCTAATAAGATTGAACCCTAGTCCCAATAGTTCATTTGACCACCCAAAGAACGGTATGATTTTGGCGGAAAACCTGACTGCGCTATGAAGTACCGTCAAAATACACACAGGTCTTTACACGCACAGCCTCAGATGATTCACGTACGATGGCCAAAAGACGGTAAATAAACAATTAATGAGGGACTCTGTGTGTGTGTGTGTGTGTGTGTGTGTGTGTGTGTGTGTGTGGAGAAGCGGCGTGTGAAAGCCATGACGTCACCCGAGAATAACGTCACCTCCACTTTGGTCGCCACACTTCCTACTCAACCCTCAATGATCACTTTCTATTTTCCGTTATTTTGTTGCTTCCATTCTTTACTTACACGCATGGACAAAAAAGGCAAGGGTATTAATCATCTTTACAATACAATGTTGAAGGTAAACAATAAGATTCGTTCGAGTTTTATGTATTTTCAAACACCTGATTCTCACGAAGTTTTGCCAGGACTATACCTGAAGTAGATCCATTGTCTCAAAGCTCACCAAGGGACAAATTCACGGTGCAGAGTCATATAGTTACATGGCGCCTATTAATGTAAACACGAGAACGCCTTCAGCTGCCGCTTGACCCCTTCACTACTGGACGCCACTTTTAATATTCTTTGGCTAATCTCAGACACACAAATTACGTGAACTGACAGTAATGACTAGTGTTAACCCCAGTTACAAGAAGAGAATACTTACATATCTTTCATAATACTGACCCTTAATAACCACGGTGTACAGTATAGGGTGCAAGACAGACCGGTTAAAATAACACATTTCCTTACCATACAGACCCAGTACAACACCAAGACTGTCACGAGGCGCACTGCGGGACGGAGGAATACTGTAGTAACTGTACACTTTGAAAATAAGAACCCAGGCCTCTCTAGAACACACACACACACACACCATACAGTATCCCGGCTGTTAAAGCTATCGTGGTCGCTCCCTTTGTTGACAACGATACTCCTATATGCTTCTCTACAAATTAAACAAATTACAATACAGTAAAAATATAGTACCAATTACAACAATATTACAGTGACTACAATAATATCAACTGTAAAAAATAGTAATAAGATAATTATAATGAGATACCCCCCCAAAAAATGATAATAATAATAATAATACAGTAATAATAATAATAATAATAATAATAATAATAATAATAATAATAATAAATAAAATAACATTAATATAAAGAATAGAAACCTTTAAAAAGCAAACAAATTTTCTGAAGGAACAATTTTGTGTGAGTGTGATGGAGTGTTGAACATTATGGTAGCGAGACACTTCCGCCAGCCCACCACCATGATCACTATCAACCCTTTCACCAGCCTTTGTTGTGTCTCTTACTGGTCATAGCCGAGGAAGTTGTGAACGTCTGTGTGTGTGTGATGTAAACTAAATTAGGTTAATGAGTTACAAGACAGTGGAACCATCAACACACATTATGCATCTTTACTGCAGTTGTATACCTGCACTGTCCAGGAGCGCGGGAAACTGTAAACCTCCACTCGTATACCTGTGTTGTCTACAGTATATACTGTACATGCTGGAATGTATACCTGTATTGTTCTATATACATGCCAAACAAATTGTATACTTGTATGACGATTTTAGTGGACACATTATTATTATTCTCGTATTATTATTATTATTATTATTATTATTATTATTATTATTATTATTATTATTATTATGTACATTATTATCATTATTATTATTATTATTACATGATCAGGGAACATGTCTTTCTTCACGTAATTAGAGAGATCAATTATTAATCCTTCAGGAATTCCGTCGTATTTTTTCCACTATTGAGAGCTTTATGTTATGACAGAGGCGACCATCAAAACGTACAGTACCCTCCCTCCTCCGTCACTCCCTGTAACAGATGTCTCTCACCACGCGGCCACAACACCTCCATCTGGGTTACTTCCGCTCCTGAGTAACCCAATTCTTTAAAATAATACTGACAACAATGACTTAGATTATATAAAGATAAAATAAATGTCCCGGTGTGTCACAAAGCATTTGATGAAATTTATGAATGTGTTTAAGTTATCGTAATGTTATTTTTCGTAGCACCAAATAACGTAAGAGGTCTTGAAATAAGGCAATAATAATATATACAGGTACTTAGTTATGTAAGTCGTTGTATTTAAAGCATTACGTTAAATCAGAATAGTGGTGTTACATGATCACCTGGGAAAAAACGGCGGTACACAATTATTACACACTGACCACACAAGCTACCACAGAAAGAAACTGTGTGTGTGTGTGTGTGTGTGTGTGTGTGTGTGTGTGTGTGTGTGTGTGTGTGGTGAGCTGCAGGTGAGTCAACGTATTGTACGCGTGACGGCAGGTGTGTGTACAGTGTGAACAATACCACGTAGTACTCCGGAAGGTTGTGGGTATAATCTATTGACTTTTCCAGGTAACCTTCACAATACACTGTAAATCACCTGCCGTAGACAACACCGAGAAGACAGAGGAAGACGACTATCATCAGGAGGATTCTTAAAGGTTCTGGAGGAATACTGTGTTCGTTAGTCAGGGACTACTCACCTATCTTAAGACGCTGCGCTGCCTTAATGAGAGACATTCACTCAACACCACTTACAAGACAAAATTAAAGTACACGTTTCTTGTAAATGATTCGTTACCTTCACACACACACACACGGCTAGTCCTACTTTCACTCCACCATTTCCAAAACACT